TTTTTATCTAGTTAAATATACATATTTTTTGAGACACAGTCTTGTTCTGTGTCCCATCTAGAGATGCCCTGGTGTCACTAGAACTCACTGCAACCTCAAACTCTTAGGCTCAAGCTGTCTTCCTGCCTCAGTCTCCCAAGTAGCTAGGACTATAGGTGCCCACCATAATGCCCACCTAAATTTTTCTAGAGACATGGGGGTCTTGCTCTTGTTCAGTCAGTATCCTTAAGAAATTAAATTGAGTACAAACTTAGAATAGATTTTTGTTTGAATGGTAACCAAGCTAAACCCAGAATCGAGTCTTAAAAGGGGAAAAAAAACATATAACTCCTCAAAAACCAGAATTACTTTTGATTACTCCTTTGCAAACTAATTTTCCCACTGTGGCTCTGAGGGGAAGTTCCTGACAGCCAAATATACATTCTTCCTAGAGATAAAATTAGTTTGAACTCTTGGGGCTTCCCAGGCCCTCTTTGTACTAGGTGATCTGGGCTAGTCCACCTGTAGTAAACTGGTAATGGTTTCCTTTTTTCTCTAAAAAAAAATATGAACATCATGCCCAGGAGATACCAAGAGGCTGTTTTGGATTTTGCAGCTCAGAATTGTTTTGTTTCCTTGTGTTTTATAAATGAAGTTCTTGCCCAGCACAATTCCTTCTGCCCTAAATAAGCCAAGCGTGATGAGTTTCTAGGGTCCCTTTCCTTATAGTTCTATTCTACCTACAACAAAAGTGTTCATGTTGCTCTAGCTTTCTATTCCCTCTTTTCCCATCTGTTTGTACTAAAGAAGTAGAAGAAATCCGTGGAAAAGGAGGCTATGGGTCAGTGGGTAGGGCACCGGTCCCACATACCGAGGGTGGTGGGTTCAAACGTGGCCCTGGCCGAACTGCAACAAAAAACAGCTGGGCATCATGGTAGGTGCCTTTAGTCCCAGCTACTTGGGAGGCTGAGACAAAAGAATCGCCTAAGCCCAGGAACTGGAGGTTGCTGTGAGCTGTGTGACACCACGTCATTCTACCAGGGGTGAAAGTGAGACTCTGTCTCTACAAAAAAAAAAAAAAAAAAGTGTTCTGAGAGTTTACCAGAGTTTTTCTCTGTAGTTAGAGAAAAGCTTCCCACCCGCCCCCAATCAAATGACCAACGGACTGTGATTCATGGAGCCAGATAACAGCTTCTTCAACAAATGTTAAAATATTTGGGAGTGTATGCACAAAATAAGTTCTTATTATTCCTCATGCTGTGCTGCCCACCTTGTATCTCATAATGGTAAATGATTTGTCAGGAATTAAGCATCAATTGTGTAGGTAAAGATGTGAAATATGGCTCTTTGGGGCATGAACTGAAAAATAACCATCACAAAAACAATTAGAAACAGCTGAGTTCTGGTGTGAACTTGGTTATCCCCTAATATATAATTTATAAATAAATTATTGTACAGTGGTGTTCACATAAAATATATACTTTCTTCCTATTCATGTAAAGTTAAAACAGGGTTAAGAACAAGAGATACCCTATCTATGCATATGAAAATGTCCCTTTTTGTTCCTGGCATTTCTAAGTCACACATATAAAATTAGTAACAAAATAGGAATCCCTAGCAAGGGAAAGCTGAGAAGAATTACCTTGATGGACCTAAACCTAAATTACTTCCACTAGCGACTGAGGATTCTTTTCTGGTGTTCTAACCTCAGCCTAAAAAGTAACTTCATCAAAAAGTATTAGCTGCATATTTATAATATTTTTTTTCTACACTTATTAACCCCACATTGGCAGGGGATTTCCTTCTCAGGCACAGTCCCGGCTTCATAACCATAATCCCATGTTAGTTCTGTTCTTGCTTTCACGTACCTGGAAAGTAGAAATTAAAAATAATCATAAATTATTCAAATAACCACCAAATGAACCAAATTGGATTACATCAATTTTTACATTAATATCATGAACCATCCTCAAAAATATGATCCATCACCTGACACCCACCAATTTGGTATAATTTTTTTTTTGTGTGTGAGACAGAGTCTCACTTTGTCACCTTGGGTAGAGTGCCATGGTGTCATAGCTCACAGCAACCTTAAACTCTTGGGCTAAACCATTCCTCTTGCCTCACCCTCCTGGGTAGCTGGGGCTACAGGCACCCACCATAACACCAGTCTATTGTTTCTTTATAGATAGGGTCTTGCTCTTATTTAGGCTGGTCTTGAACTCCTGAGTTCAAGCAATCCTCCCACCTTAGCCACCCAAAGTGCTCAGATTACAAGTGTGAGCCACCGCATCTAGCCTTGGAATAATCTTTTTTTTTTTTTTTCATTGAGACATAATCTCACTCTGTCACCGTAGGTAGAGTGCTATGGCATCACAGCTCACAGCAATCTCAAACTTCTGGGCTTGAACCATCTTCTTGCCTCAGTTTTTCTATTTTTAGTAGAGATGAGGTCTTGCTTATGCTCAGGCTGGTCTCGAACTCCTGAGCTCAGGCAATCCACCCACCTCAGCCTCCCGGGGTGCTAGGATAACAGGCGTAAGCCACCACGCCCTGCCTGGAATAATCTTTTATTATGAATAACCACTGAGTTTTATTTCAAATCTACTAAAATTCCAAGTAAGAAGAAACCTGTCAATATGAGGAAGGAAGCATACTGTGCAATCAGCAGCATCTAGTGGTATGAGGCCTGTGGTGTGGAAGCAGTTGGGAAATGGTTCTGATTTAAAGATGATGCAGCACTCTGAGTCATTTACCTCCTAAACTGAACTGGGTTAAGGCCTGATATTCTCTGCCCACCTGGGCATTAATTCTAAGTGAGAATAAGAGTTGGCATTTCAGGTATTCAAACCTTTTTGACTTGGAACAGTTTAGGATAATTGAGTATTCTAGGGTACCGGATATTTGGGGCTTTTTATACTTTTTTTTTTTTTTTTGAGACACAGTCTTACTTTTTCACCCCAAGTAGAGTGCTGTGGTGTCACAGCTCACAACAACCTCAAACTCTTGGGCTCAAGAAAATCTCCTGCCTCAAGCCTCCCAAGTATCTGGGACTACAGGTGCCCACCACAACAGCTGGCTATTTTTAGAGACAGGATCTTGCTCTTGCTCAAGCTGTTCTCAAATTCCTAAGCGCAGGAGATCCACCCACCTCAGCCTCTCTGAGTGCTAGGATTACAGGTGTGAGCCACCACAGCCAGCCTTTTTATATTTTTGTGTTGTTATTTTATGTTGCAATTTCAGAATTAAATCATCTAAGCAAAATCAATTACAAACCTGTTGGTGAAGAATGCCACCAATGGAAAATTCCTGTTGTGTGTTTCTACGAAAACATTCTGTACTAAGAGATTTGGGCAACAACTATGCTGTTAAAAAAATTAAACAGTGGTTAGATTAGAATGACATTCTGTTTCCAACACATCTCACTGATTTCTTCTTTCTTTTCTTTGCCAATACATAAAATATCATAGCTCAGGACAATTCTGTTAACAGCAGGAACCCATTCAAAAAAGCCCTATTTTGATATTCATATCTTGCTAGAACAAAGGCAAAAATGATATGAGCCCCTATAATAAAAAGACAATTTGTTAATACTTATCATTGCCATAAATGCATTTTTGTTTTAATTCAGCAATCCTACATCTAGGAATGTATTCTACAGATTCATCTGCATATGTGTCTAAATGTAAGATTATTCATTAAGCTTTGTCTTTACCAGTAAAAGTTTAGAAACTTTTTAGGCCAAACATTTGCCTAAAGGGAACTGGTTAACAAACTTTGGCATATCTACACAATGGTATTAATGAAATTATATATAGCCATAAACTAAAGACACAAGAGGAATAAGGAGCTCTGTGTACTGATATGGAAAGATGTCCAGAATGTATTGTTAATTTAACAAAGTGTACGACAGTGAATAGAATATGCCTTCTTTTGTGCCAAAAAGGGGGAGAAGTATGAACAGATGTTTTTATTTACTTGTATTTGTAGAAAGAAACACTAGAAGAATATACAAAAAAAGTAATAAAATGATTACCCATAGACAGAGGGTGGGAGAGGGGAAATGAAATACAGGAATAGTACTTATCAAGGT